AAAAAAAAAAAGTCCTTGAAAACCTAATATAAGCAAATAAATAAAAGCTCTTATTCCAACTTAAGAACATCTTCGTGAATGTGTGGTATTGTAGTGCTATTTCCTTTAATAGAATGTGAAAAATGACTTGTGGTCCTCTGTATTATTCAGCAACGATCACGTTATTTTCGAAGTCACTTTCAATTTTAACTTTATCACGTGACCTCAAAGTCTGAAACGGACATTTGACTGATTGGACCATTGCTAATTTAACAATTCCCTCTTTAAATCAAACAACAATGGGTGTTATGAAGATTAAGTATAGTACAATAGTAAATGAAACTAAATACAATTGAACACCTATAATAATTGAGTAAGAACATGGATAGTTCCTCCCAAGTCTTGAAGCAAGATGATGAGGACTAAAATGTCATTTTGAACCGGCCCATGGTCTAAAAGAATCATGTTGTGGGCCTGTGGCATGGCCCAACATGGCCCAATAATGTTGATGACATATAAGCTCAATGGATTGTCCAACAAATGACCCCAATCCATCTTGAGGAAATTGCACCCCTTACTATTCCCTTTAAATTATATTACACCTTTGTACCCTTTATATATTTATTTTTAAATTTACCTAAAGAAGTTAAAATATTATCAATTATACCTAAAACACACTTAACCGTTATTAATATTCATTTAATGGTAATGAGATAATTAAGTGATAATAAATATCCTCTTCCCAAAAAAAAAGGAAAATCAAAAAGTAAGTTCCTTATCTAAACCACCCCACCGCCACTTCCCCGTCATTCCCAAATATCCTCTTTCTCCTCCACCGATCTCCGAATTTTTTTCTTCAACAATTTGCAGAAACCCAAAATTCTTACAACAATCAAATTCTAAAATTCAATTTCTTCTTCCCGCACCCATGTCGGGCATCCGACAACGGGGTGGGCGGCGGTCGGCTTGCGAAGGTCGCAGCCCATTGGAGGTCGGGGCCCGTCGAAGGTCGCCGAATAGAGCTCGAAGGTGAGGTCGCCGGTTGTCGAGGTTTGCAAATCGCCGGTTATCGTCTATTTAAAACAAAAAAAAATGAGATTTTTTTTTTTATTTTAACGTGTATTTTCGATTTTGATCGTTTTCAGCAAAATTTTGTGTAAATATTTGCTGGAAAAAAACACAGAGGGGGGTCTATCGGATTTTTGTTGAGGACGTTATATTTCACCGGAAATATACTGGAAATATAAGTAAAATATACCAGAAAAAATGAACTCGATGGCG